ACGGATGACCAAAGACCTTTCTTATGCCAGAAGCAAAAACCAAAACTTTTTGTTGGCTTTTTCCTTTGTCGCCTCCCAAACACCCTGCTCTCCCAGCCCCCCACCCTGGCCCCAGGCTGGAAGCCCTCCCTTCACTTAAGTTATTGTTTTAAACCAAAGTTTACAGTGTCTGTTGGTGGCCAAGACCCTCTCCTTCCACCCCTCCTCCACCCCTCCCCAAGGACCCTGGGACTCAGTGGAGGTGGAGGCCCTGCGCACCTCCCCTCTGCTCTTGCCCAGCTTGGGGGAAGGAGAGAGGGCAGAGGGGAGGAGGTGGGCACACAAGCCCCCACCCCCAACCCTAGGCTGCTTCCTGGGGGCTCTCCAGACCCCTGTCTAGGACCAAGTCCCCCATCATGCTGGGAGTGTGGATTCCAGCAAAAGAGCTGGAAAAAACAGACTCCACAAACCCCCTATGGGGGACCCCAACTTAAGACCAAGGACTGGGCATGTCGGATGCTCATAACACCCCGGGCCAGGCCCTTTTACTGAGAAGACTCCTTGGATATTTCCCAAGAAACCCCCACATACACCCCTTCACAAGCCATCCCTCCCAAGAAGCAGGGGGCACTCCACCCCCTCCCCCTGTATTCCCCACCTGTGTTCTATTTGACCAGCACAGAAATATTAAACGTCCTCTATTCACCGGGCCCTGCGTGTGTCACCAAAGTGAGGGAGGGGAGGGGCATTAAAGCTTAAAGAGTATTCTGTGCAGGGAACTGGGGCAGGGACATCAGCTAGACAGTGGGGGCTCCTGCAGGGGTGGTTTCTGCAAGTATGGGTGGGTTGAGTGGGCATAGTGCCCCAGCTGGCACATGGGCTGGTGCCCCAGCTTTAGGGACAGGGGCTTCCTCTGGTTCCTCTGCTCCTCCTGTCTCCCTCCTCCACTCTTAAACTAGGTCTCGCCATCATTCTTCTGTTTTTCTTCCAAAGCCCCAGCCCTTGGCCCAGTTCTTTCACAAGTTGCTATCATGGTGTTTTCAGCCAGGAAGTCAGTTTACTCCAGGGATGGAGAGGACTCCTGCTGCAGGAGATGGCCACACCCATCCCCAGCTGTCCTCTGGGCCATCATCCACATCTTCGTGGGGCTACCTGGACAGGTGTGTGTGTGCTTATGTGCATGTGTGGGGGTGGCATCCTGCTGCTTGTGGTAGGGCTCTTAGTGGATGTGTGCATGCCCATGTGGCACATGTGTGTGTGGTGACTGTAGTGCTGGTGGCTTGGGGTCAGAAAAGGGGTTATTCAAACCCATGCAAAGGGGACCCCTGGACAGTTAGGGGGAGAGAAGGAAAGGAGGAGGTAGTCTAAGCTGTTAAATCAGAGATGGGTCTTGACACCTCCCTCAGCCTCAGCAGACCAGCCCACATTCCTCTCATCCCACGTCAATTCCTGGTACCCTACCCTGCTGCCCCTCCTCCACAGGGGAGCCCCTCCCACCTTCTCAGACCCTGGCGCCCATCCTTAGGGCCTCGCTGTTTCAGGCCTTATCCCTGCTTTCCATGGTCGCCTTTCAGACACTCCCTCCTCGAGGGCAGGTAGGGCCCCCGCCCCGGGGAGAGGGGGCAGGGTCCAGGAAGGAGTGTGTGTATTTGGGGGGAGTGGGAAAGGGCAAAATGTTGAGAAAGCAGAACTGAAATCACACCTTTCTGCAAATCTCCACCAAACTGCTGGAACTCTCCAAAAGCCAAATTCGGGAGGCAGGTGGGGCAGGAAAGAGGGTAGGATCTGGAGACAGAGTCTGCTGACTTCTCTGTCTACTCTTGAGCCCGCCTTTTGTCCTTTTCTGCAACCACCAATTTCTTTGTCTCCCTTGCTCTCCCCCCCCCCTCTCTCACTCCCCTCCACTCTGCCTCCCTGCCACCACCTGCTCAGAGCCTGGGGTGAATTCCCTGTCCCCCACTTAATACCTCGGGAGGGGCCAGGGAGCTCGGTTTGAGGGTCTCAGAGCCCCTGCACACCCCATCCTCCAGGCTCGCCCGCCACACACGGTGAGAAGTAGCACTGCTGTGTCCTGTAATCTGCCCTCCTGGCCCTCCGTGGAGGCTGCCGGGGCCCTGCACAGTAGAGGTAGCTGTATGTAATCTGTGTGGACAGCAGCGTTCCCTACGATGCAGTAAAGCAGTTACCATGATTTTGCTGTGGCTGCTTCACCTCCTCCCTCTACCCCTCACAGTCAGACCAACCAGCCCCTTAGAAAGCCCCAGAGAACCCAGAGGTGTTGGCTGTCAAGCTCCCAGCTCCCTCACTCCACCCCTGGAAGAAGAGAGTCTGTTCTTCAGGCTGACCTCAGGGACACCTTCCTATGCCAGACTCTTAAGTGACAAGACTGAACCAGCCTCATTCTCAGGAAAGGTCCTCCAGCAGTCTAACTTTAGTTTCTCCTTGCTTCAACTACAGTCATTTTCTTTTTATTTCTCCCACAGGGATATGGCAAATGTCTGGTCAGTGCATTTGGAGGTGGGGTGATGATCTATCATTGGCATTGGGGGCAGAGAGGGTCTTGCAATAGAAGAAACAGGTGCTGCCATGGACCACCACCTCTTGGATGCATTGGGCTCAGTCTCAGAAATTTTCTTAGTATCTGACATCCCACATGAGGCAGCACCCACCCCCACCCCCCCATTATTACCTTCTTTTAAGTGAGAACCAACTTCCCAATCGCACCTTGCTGCCAGGAAGTCCTGCACATTGTCTAGCTTCTCTCCTTCCTACTGATTCACAACTGTTGGAGGCAAGTTATTAGCTATGGCTGGCAATTTGTCCTTGTCTTAGTATTTCTGCCCTGATGGAGGAGCTGTCTTTGGAAACTGTTCTCAGCCTGGCAAAAAAAAAAAGAAGAAGAAGAAGAGGAGAGAAATATTCCAAGCCGGACATTCTGAGGGTGGGCCAAGTCGTTCTCTGGGCTCTGCATCACACCAAAGTCCCTGTCCGCCTTTCGCCTGGCACTCAGAAAGCTCCTTGCTCCCACTACCATTAACTCGCCTATGGCTTTTTGCCGGTGGCCAGCAGAGGGCGCTTTAGACAAAGCAGACCTTCTTTTGGACAAACTTGCCCATCTGAGGAGGGGGTGCAGCACAGGGGTGGGGTTCAACTCCCTGTGAGAACTCCAGCCCCTCTGAACATGTCCCAGACAGCAGCCTCTAGCCCAGGGTAGGAAAGGGCTCATTCTGCTATTTGGGGGCTCCCCAGACCCCACCAATTTGTGACTTATGAAACATCCCAAATAGACATGGGAGAAGGCAAGAGAGATGAAGAGAGTGCGCTGCAGGGAAGATATCTCAGGAGCCAAGCACACCGGGCACAACGAGGGGCTCGATACATATTTTTAATAGTAATAATTATTAGCCTTTAATGAGCTCTTACGTGCCAGACACTATGCTAGAAGTGTGGTATTTCATTTAATTCTCACAACAACTCTGAGTTAGGTGGTATTATTATCCCTGTTTTACAGATGATGAAACTGAGACAGAGAATCAAAGAGATCAGCAGATAAAGTATGAAGAATGAAGAATCTGTGGTTTGCAGTGGGGAAGGAAAAGAGGCTTTGTGGCTTAGTCCCAGCTTTCTAGTGACACTATTTACTTTGACAT